AACCAGTCTCCGTGAAAGAAGTGATAAACACAGGCAGCCAAGGCTATTAGTAAACCGAGCACCGAAAATTTCAGAGACAGTTCAATTGAAGTCAGACAGTAATAGGGCACATTGGAAAATAGGTAAGATTACTGAGCTTATTAAGGGATCGGATGGACACATACGAGTAGCCAAGGCCAAGGAGAAGGTTCAAGAATGGACTCCTCAGTTGATGGTCAAATTATTCAATTAAGAGTTCTCAGTACGATTGTTGTATTTTAAATGTTAATCAATTAATCGAGCATAGTGGTAAAATTATTGAGATCCTAAGTTTGTCCTAAATTGATTAAATATATGTTCATTTATAAAGATTGTTTTCTTTCTTCCTTGAGGGGGGAATGTCGCGAAGGCGAAGAAACACATGTAATAGTTTAGTACGTATGGTGCTAGAGGGAAAAGGATCGACTATTGCTGGCATCACTAATTATCGATTGCACTACGGGCATTCCTATCTGTGAGTTAGCTGTCACGGACAGCCCTTCTGGTTTTTGACATTGGGGTTTTTTACGCGCCAATAAATACCTTTTTGTTAGCGGTGTTTTTTCATGTGGAACCTTTGGAGTGGACCTGGTGAGTTTTGGATATATTGATTGAATAGTAAAGCGTGTCTTTCAGTGGAAAGAAACATATATCATCATTTAAAGCGACACGCAGTGGGTTTTCTTATCATTATTGAAATGCATGTTAAAGATGCATACTGCGCATAATGTTTTAATATATATAGTGGGATACTGCTTGCGAGCAGGGTCTCAATGTATAGAATCTGCCTGCGTGGCAGTCCCAGTAGTGGGTATAGAATCTGCCGGTGTGGCAGTCCCAGTTGTGGGTATAGAATCTGCCGGTGTGGCAGTCCCAGTTGTGGGTATAGAATCTGCCGGCATGGCAGTCCCAGCAGTGGGTCTAGAATCTGTCGGTGTGGCAGTCCCAGCAATGTTTTTAGAATATGCCAGTGTCGTATTATTATGAGTAGAGAGAATATGCTTATGAGCAGTATGTTTTGAGCAGTATGAGCAGCAGTATGTGAGACAGCCTGCGGGCAATGTTCCTATGCGAGGCATGGGGTGGCTGAAGGGGAGGTTGGAGGCCACATGGGGGACAACCTCCAAACCTTTGGTGTCAGAATCATAGAATTTAGTATGGTCCGAGAATAGCTCAGACAGAGTGTAACTAAGTATCAGTTCAAATATTTAATAACACGTATTTAAGATTATCTTTATTTTTTAGTATTAGTACCCAGGTAATTTGGTATGACAAGGTCTTAGCTTAGATATTCGGGTAATTTATGAAATTGAAGTGATTCCCGACAAAGGTGGCAAAATCAGACATTATATCCTTTACGCGTAAGGCAAAATTTAATAGGACGAGTTTTGGACTCGATTGTAACTCAATTTAAGGATAAAAATACTCGTGACGAATTTCTAGCAGCTACTATCAATTTCAACCGTAATAAACAGAATAAAGGTAAACTCAACACTTCCCATCTTGGTCTTAAAGGACCAAGATGGGAAGTGTTGAGTATGGGAAGAGAATACTGCAATCTTTGTAGTTGACCACCTTTCCCTGCAAACAAACTTCTTCATGCTGCTGCAAGATCAGCAGCGAAGGAAAATAATTACAAATAGATACGTGTGGATAAAAAATGGGCGCGTTTACATGAGAAAAACTGATTTCAAAATGAACTAAATAAATAAAAGGCACAGTTTTTTTTGGCGAAAGTCAAAATTGAAGTTAGTTTAAATACGGTTTACAATATGATCGATTGTTTGCTAAAAATAATACATAAATTTCAATAATTGGTCGATATAAAAATCGCAAAAATAACTCTAAATAGGTTTATTATAACTGCATTTGTTTTTTCTGCGATTAAAAATGTATGAAATCAAATACTCCCTTAGCGTATTTGTTTGGGAACGGAAGCGGAGATAGAAGGAGCCTTAATATTAGAGAGTGGATGGGAACAGCTGGGTCAGACGAACTGTTCCGCTTAGCGGGAAGTAGGGACGGTTGCACACTAATTGGAGAGGTACTTCAAGCGATAACATTAGTGCATGTCACCGGGAACGAGCAACACATTAATCTGGTTGTGTTATTTCTTTTGCGAGTTTCTGTAAATAATATATTCTTACAAATTGATTACATATAAGTGCTTACGGTTTTTTATAGTCAATAGACCGACGGTCAGTTGCACAAACGTCTATTAAGGTTTAATGATGCCTTTAAGCTCTAATTAATGTCAAATTTGTATAGGTAATGTCGCGTTAAACTTATTTTAATGGATTTTTGTGAAACTTGCTGAATCTTTACCAAAATAAATATAATACCTAATGTAATAATCAAAACCTCCAAATGCGATTGGGAATAGTTTGGTATATCTGTGAGTAGGTAATGATAAGTTAACGTATTTATAGATACCTATCCTTTTTTCTTCTATCTCCTACATGGATCAATAGATTGTATCGTATGTATTGCCAAAAATGAAAATAAAACAATGATTTTGAAACCTGTTAATGACTTGGAGTTAATGTATCTAAAGCTTGTTGATTACAGCATGTTTCCTTCAGTTTTCGCAGAATGACCCTATTGTGCTAAGAGACAATGGAGCATGACAGATTGACATCGTTATATTATACGATTGATTTCATATATTTTACAAGAAATCCTTTTCAGTATCTTCGGGACAAGAGACCTTAAAAGTGAATTATAAAAACGTTCTGTACTATTTTGTATTTCATACCGTGTCGCTATAGCCTTCATCGTGACAAATAAGTTAAATACATGTAATATTATAATTATTGTGAATTATGCATATACTGCTTTATATTTATCTTTAAAATACTTGAAAAAAAAAACCGTCACATTGTCGGTTCGTATCTGTCTGGTCCTGAGAAGGTTTTCTCAATAACTCTTATGATAAATATAGGTAATATTATATGTAAATATTTCTTTAACATAAATAAAAATATATTGAAGAAAAATATTCTTAATGAAAAATGCTTAAAAAACTACTTCTCAGAGGGACAAAGTTGATTTTTTAAGCAAAATTGAAAATTTATCAAATATAAAAAAAATATTATTTCTGTTACTGGTATTTAACAAAGTTTGATATTGAAAGCTATTTATTTTGATAAAATTTAGATAAATCTGTGTATATAGATTATATATATATGTCGCAGTAAGATGGATAAAGCCGTAATATAGTTATATCCCTAGGGATATTATTATATACCGTAACATAGTTATACAGAAGCGATTCATTACTATCTCACTAGGAATATAGTTATAAAGCGGTCCAAGTTTAGTGATATACTTATATTACTAGATTAAGTTTAGTGAAATAGCTTTCGAAAACTTAAGAAAAGCCGCAAAAAAAATTAAAACCCACTCATCACAGAAATTTCCTGACATTAACGTGGGTTCTTCAGTTCTTATGGAGATATCAAAGATAGATCGTGGACCAGTGGATCAATAAAATGTATTAGGAAAAGTTTTAGAAAAGCGAAATGAATGTGATAAAATTGGAACATCAGTTGGTATCCTGAAAGATCGGTTACCCAGAAATGCAGTCCCAATATAGGATCATTCAATGTAATGTTTGAAAGCTGTATTTTCAAACATTACATTGAATGATCCTATACCAAATGAAAACTTGTCACTGAGAGAAATATGGTCTTGGTTCCGTAGTGGATAAGCGCCGCGGCCCGTGATCGTTGTCGTTACAAATTATTATCTCGAGCTACTCCGTCCTTCGGAAGGCACGTTAAGCCGTTGGTCCCGGCGGCATTTGCAGTCGTTAATACCCTCCAATCCTCATTGGGCCAGCGTAGAGGGTCATGGCCCATCCTCCTTAACCATCCATAAGGAAGGCCTGAGCCCTTGCAGTGGGGACGTAAAAGGGCTGGTGATGATGATGATGAGAGAAATATGTCAAAAATTGTCGCGCTTTGGTGGCCAAACTTATTTAAAATGTTCCTGTAAAAAATCGAATATACAGTGTTCTACTAAAAGATGTCCCTGTAAGAAGCATTCAGTGCTATGTAATTCTAGATGTCATGATTCGTCTTCTTGTCTAAACAAAAATTAAAAAATAATTTTAAAGAAACCAATATATCAACTTATTATAAGAAATAAAAATATCTCAAAACTGTTGATCAGCTATAAAATGTTTAATGTTTGATTACATAGTTTTAATTGTATTTACTTTAATACATGTTAATATCACAAAGTATTGTAACTAACTGCAGGATACAAAAAGTTGATTTTTTTATAAAAATAAAACCAATATAATATTATTTTATTTAATTATAGATGGTAGATTTCTATTTCACTAAGCTTAATAAAGTGATATATTTATAACACTGAACTTAATCTAGTAATATAAGTATATCACTAAACTTGGACCGCTTTATAACTATATTCCTAGTGAGATAGTAATGAATCGCTTCCGTATAACTATGTTACGGTATATAATTATATCCCTAGGGATATAACTATATTACGGCTTTGTCTTACTACGACATATAACTCAAAGATGACTGACTGACATAGTGATCTATCAACGCACAGCCCAAACCATTCGATGGATCGTGCTCAAATTTGGCATGCAGGTAGATGTTAGGACGTTGGCATCCGCTAAGAAAGGATTTTGATCAATTCTACCTCCAAGGGGATAAAATAGGGGACGAAAGTTTGTATGAAACTTTGTCAATTTTAAACCGATCGGGCTGAGACTGCATGCATAAAGCTACTATGACGTAGGCATCCCCTAAGAAAGGATTTTGATAAATTCCACCCCTAAGGGGATAAAATAGGGGATGGAACTTTATATCAGGTATTTTACCCAATATAATTAATAAATTCGTTAGAAATGCTGCTCAAAGTAGCACGCGGACGAAGTCGCGGGCAAAAGCTAGTCTATTTATATTTGATGTAACTTTCTATTTATCTTTATCTACTTGTTCTAGATGACAAACTCATCAAACGGTTCCTACATAGCTGCTATTACAACATCGATCAGGCGAAGAGTGCTATAGAACTGTTCTTCTCCATCAGGTCTTCAATACCAGAACTCCTCAACGACAGAGATCCACTCTCACCACAGTTTCAGAGGGCACTGAAAATTGTGTAAGTGTTTAACTCGTACGAAATAACATGACGCCTGAAGGTGTCATGTTTATTCGCAGGAGCTCTATCTTTCGTATTTTGTAATCTTAAAAACTATCTAAAAACTGTTTGCGACGTGTATTTAATTGAGAGTCCTGTAGGTACTTTACAGGTGTGGTGATGTGAATTTAATCTGTCTCCGTAGTCGAGAGCCGATTTCCAAGTTCCATATTACAACCCTGCTTGCGTTAACAAAGAAAATAAGCTTTTATAATTGTCTCTGACTTGAAGAGTATGTGGCCGAGTCACCAGGACACTCATACCCTTATAAGAACATTGGTCCCCTCGCGGAAAATGTCAGATACCTGATAACACCTGCTCACGAACATGACTTAAATTAAACTAAATGAATTTCTCAAGCAATAACTTGTTTTTATTCACAAAAACTCAGTAGTGAAATAATATATTTTTTTAAAATTAAACAAAAAGCGTACTATTGTTGTTATTTTTATATTTGATTAGCAAATAGGACGGCAACGCTTGGATGCCGCAGCCGCCGTAACCGATGCAAGATCTAGGTCTCAGTTGATTGATCTCATTGCATTATAATATGTGGACCTTGACCGCGCTAACTAGATAGAAATTGTTAAACTAATGAAAAAACTGTTTATTAGATTAATAAAAGATCGACAACATTATACAAAAAATGAGTTCAGAAACACCTACTCGTAAGTTTAATACTCAAAAAGAAGTGCAGTCTTTATATACATGAATGAACGAAAAATATTCAGGCTCAGCAGAGCGATCGCCTATAACTCTAGCCATAGGAAGAACGAATGATAAAGAATGATGCATGTGAATGTGACAGCAGTGTTTCCAACTTAGTCATTTATCCCAGATTTGTCCACCAAAAGACATGTCAAAGTAGTAAAATGAAACTTAATATCACCACAATATTCGCTATAATGTCATATGCGGTCGTAATCCAGCTGCTCGAGATTGGGTTTTTTGTGTTCTATGATTCGAATCACCTACAACTTGTGTATGGCAAAATTGACCAAATATGATATTTTTATAATTTAAATATTTATTTCAGAAACGTAGCGCAGATTCGAATATCGGGAAACCGAAATCTATGGGCGTGGCAACTAAACGATCCCGGCCTGGAAGTTTTCGATTACATCCAAGACGTCAGGCTGTTCTTTTTAACCATGGATTCGTGGCTTCTAAACGAAGAACATCTGGAAGATGCCGACTTAGTGATGCTTGACGTAAAAGATATATCACTCAAGTTCTTAACCAAATTCAACGTATCCGTCGCCAAGAAAATGTCAAAATATCAACAAGTAAGTATTTTATCCCATTTACTATTCCGAAAATGTAGGCACCTGGGCCATATAAGGAAGGTTTTATAATTAATTTAACTTGTCTATAAACTAACCATTGTTTTATTTTTAATATTAATTTGTTAATTAGTAGAAGATATTTCCTCGCAAGACAGAATAGTTAAATCAAATCGAACAATTCTTTGCCAGATATTGTGTCAATACCTATACAATTGTTACATCAGTTTGATGCACAAAGAATATTTTTGTTCTAGTCTTATTTCTTACTTGTTTTAAGCAATCAGACAGTGAAATCTGATGTTTATTATGATATTTTTATAATTTCATTCGTAAATCATACTCGGTTACATGTCTCTCTGTATGTAGTTGGCCCCGCGATAGGTCACATATTTTGTCATTTAAGACAAGTTTTACGTTCTGCCCATTTTTTCCATCTTGCTCTCTCAACTCCTACGATTACTTTTGTCTTCATGTGTAACGCCATACGAGTAAAAGAACTAATATTCTTTTACTTTTTTATACGGAATAAGAAAACTACTTTCTCTGATTTCCTCATGTATTTCAAATTATTCCTTTATCCTGTATTTATAATTTATTGCTTTTATTTTCTATTACTGAATATATTCATTGAAAACTAATACAATTACTAAAGGCAAATTCTGTTAGTGAAGTCACATAATAAATATTGTTTTCATAACACTTGGAGTTGCCTCAGTTGGCCTCGTAAAATGTCATAACATACACACACAGTACTTGAGCAAGTTTCCTCCTTTGCGAAGGTTAATGGACCGATATTTTATTAAGGCGGATATTCAACTTCTTAATACTAGTGGTGAATTTTGTATTCGATCTGTAATAGAAAAGATCTATGAACCAGCAGAAGAGTCATTAATGGGTGATGTGACTACTGACAAGTAAATATCAATTTAGTGTTATGAATGTAGCGTTTTTTGAAGGAAATTTTCTCAAATATTAGATAGAAATTCGATTTGGGCGAGATTTTCTCAATAAAAAAACAAATTTTACATATTATTTAGTAAATACATAAGATTTCTTATTTCTTTTCAATACATTTCTTTAATCATTAACAAAGTATATTTAACGAAAATATATAAGTAAAATAAAAGTTTTTTTAGTTCAAAACAGTTTACAAATAAACTTAAAACGTTTGGCGGTGGGTTTATATATTTAATTAAACAACTAATGAAGTATTTATAATAACTTTTTCTTGCAGGACGCTTTACCTATTAGGTTGAAACAGATCCACATAGTGAACGCGCCGCCATTCATAGACAAGATTTTCGGTCTGATGAAGCCGTTTTTAAAGCAAGAAGTCACTGAAATGGTGAGTGAAATAAATCTTCTTTTAAGACGGCATGAATCCGTGAACATCCAAAATCACTGACTTTCAACTGCTTTCGGTGCCCCACCCAAAGGGTAAAACGGTAACCCTATTACTAAGACTTCGCTGTCTGTCTGTCTGTCACCAAGCTGTATCTCATGAACCGTGAAAGTTAGCCTGTTGAAATTTAACTAAGCTGTATCTCATGAACCGTGAAAGTTAGCCTGTTGAAATTTAACTAAGCTGTATCTCATGAACCGTGAAAGTTAGCCTGTTGAAATTTTGATAGATGATATATTTCTGTTGTCGTTTCAATAACAAATACTAAAAATGTGATATTTTTTTGCTTGATATTAATAACGTAAACAGTTAGACGGTTGAAATATTTACAGAATGCGTATTTATATAGTAACTTTAAAAATAAATAATAAAACTATAATTAAACAAATATTTAAGGGGGACTACCATACAACAAACGTGATTTTCCGGTAGAGAAGTCTTCGTGCGCAAGTCCGACGCGCACTTGGACAATTTTTAAAGACATAACGTCCAAATAACCTGTAATTCTGTAACAGCCTAAACGTTCACAATTTTTTCTTAATACTTAGAAAATATCACAAAGGTATTTTTAAAACTCACAATCTTTTCAATCTTGTTGTAGTCATATCCTTTTCATAGCGACTATTGATAAATATGTGGGGAACCAAAAATGTATTATCTTGAGCACCTCTATGCTTCGGAAGACAAGTGTACCGATTACATCTGCTGTCGTTTTCACTCACCATTCCGCATTGAGATACAGGTATATGGTTCATGGTCTAGAATTGATTCATCGATTTCATAAATGGGGAAGGCACATGTGCTACAATAATAGGCACGTAGGATGTAATATTTGTGTTCAATAATCTAGTCTGGTGATCTCATTTTCAGGTTCATTTCCACCCGCCTAAGTCGGACACGTTACTCAATTACTTTGATAAAGATGACCTTCCCGAAGACTACGGTGGCACCAAAGGCAGAATGGAAGAGCACATGAAACGTGTTATCGATGTTGTGATGAGCAAAAGGTGATTAAATAATATCATATTTAAAAAAAAGACATAAACAAACCTAAAATTTTAAATCATTTTGTAACCCACCTCTGTAGCAGAGGTGGGTTTCAAAATGATTTTCAAGGTGCCGCCATCTCTAAAGTCCGAAGTTCGATCTCAATTTTAAGTGTTGAGGATATCTAAATTTTACAAACTCCATCTATAGCAAAAAATGATGTCTGTGATGTTACTTTATGATAATTATTATCTTGGGCCAGACATAATCATCATCGTCATCATCATCAGCCCTTTTTACGTCCCCACTGCAGGGACTCAGGCCTTCCTTATGGATGGTTAAGGAGGATGGGCCATGACCCTCCACGCTGGCCCAATGCGGATTGGAGGGTATTAACGACTGCAAATGTAGCCGGGACCAACGGCTTAACGTGGCTTCCGAAGCACGGAGTAGCTCGATATAATAATTTTTTTGGTCACCCATCCCGTGACCGACCCTTGCGAAAGTTGCTTAACGACTACGATCGCGGGCCGCGGCGCTTATCCACTACGCCACCGAGCTACATAATATATACCTTGATATCCCAAACTCGACGGATTTTAATTGACAAACCAAACCAGCCCAAACTAAATGGGGTTGCGTCCTTTAATTACTGAGGTCCCATTGATTACAGGCTCTATCATCAAAGCGGCTACATTTCATTTTATTATTTCTTTGTCATCCAACTTGTATGTATGCAAAATTTAAAAAGCTCCTACACGCACTTGGTTGGTTTTAGAGTTCCGTACTCAAGAGGTAAAACAAGAAGGCTATTACTAAAAACTTCGCTGTCTGTCTGTCCGTCGGTCACCAGACTGTATCTTAACCGTGGTAGACGGTTCAGATTCTCACAGATAATGTATTTTATTGCCGCTATAACAACAAATACTAAAAACAGGATAAAATAAATAACTAAAAGGGTTCCCATACAACAAACGTGATTTTTTTGGACGTTTTCGGAAAGGAACCCTTCGTGCACAATTTGACTGGCATTTGACCGGTTGTTTAGCTTAATTATTTTGCAAATAAAAAATATGTATTCGTTAAAAAAGCTATTTACAGTATTTCACGTTATTTAAGCACAAAAATATGAATTTTCAACTACTTTAGTAAAACCAAATAATCAAAATCTCTATAGTTTTTACAATTATTTGACTTGTGAACGTAAGCAAAGAAAAATATTAAAATTCGTTTGGAAAACTAAATAATCGTACAATTGTTTTTCAAACGTAATGCAAAGATTATGGAAACAGGTACTCTAACTAACTACTAAATCGAAGAAAACAATATTGTAGAATATGAGACACTTATATAAGTGTCACACTTATATAAGTGTCTCATATTCTAGTGGGTTTTTTAGTAACACAATAAAAGTCTTATTAATAAATAATTTTTATTGCATACAAAAATGGAGTAAAATGTGCAAAAATTGTGTAGTTACACAGTTTTCTCTTACTTTTGTTAATACTAAAAGTCACATTGGAATAACTCAGAGAGCTATGTGTAACTAAACAAAAAAAAAATGTTTATTCTTAAGCTTAGTTTACAATATACAATATATCATGAAGTCTCCTTTTAAGTATTGTATTTATCATACCTGTTTCAGAGGACCTTACTCTTCCTTTTTACATAACATAGGCAGTTTATAACGGTTATAAGATTCTTATTAGTAACAACATAACACTACAAATTTTTGTTTCAGGGATGTTTTGTTGCGAAATGACCTCTGGCGATCTGAAATGAAAAGTAAGAGTAAGAACAACGAATCATTAAAAGATATTGGCTCTTTCCGAACTCTTGCCATCGACTAGTTTTATTTCGTCCAATTAGCGATCTAATTGTAAGGTATTAAGGTTTATATCAAGTGTTACATCATGCAGAGCTGATATAATAGTGAAATATAATGTGTTTTTTTACTAAATCCTATGAAAACATGAAAAACTTGCTAGAGTGAAAATATAAGACTATAAATGATTTGATACTATTTTTAGAGCTTTTTTGATAGTTTACAAACTCAGTTTTAATAAGTAAAACTGTATAATATTTAATAACAAAAATTGATGTGTTATTCCTAAAAGAAGCATTTTGAGTAGGTGGAAACTTTGCAATAATGGAATTACTATTAAAACCATAATGAGTTCGCGTGTGTTCTATTGAGACTAATGAGTAATTAGCATTATAGTTGAACGTGGTAAAGCGCAAAAGCAAAAGCACTTGCGAAGGTAAAGCGACTGTGATAGCGATGTATGGAATTACGTAACTCCTAAGGGACCGTCCATTAATCACGTGAGGCTCGAAAGGGGGGAGAGGGATTCGTCAAAAACCACGAAATATCACAAAGGGGTGGGGGGGGTGGTGTAGTAATAGATCACGTGTATTTATTTTTTCCTCAAACGCGCGATTATTTAACCGAACAGCGACGTCAAAAATTAAGATTTTTTTGTTTTTTTTTTAAATACACGTGATTTGGTTGAAGGCTGTGGTTTAAGACTACCCGTCTTAAACCCTCACCATGTATCACCAAAGGGGAGGGGGGGGTCAAAAAATGTTGAAAAAAACATCACGTGATTATTGGACGGCCCCTAAACTAGCAATCTCTTTCGGGATGAATGATGATTTGAATGATCAAAAAACACAATAAAAAATTTGTTAAACCCATTGAAACATTTCAGTTAGTATTTAACTCTTTAGTTTGATATTTCTCAATATCTTTCAAAAATATTTGCGTCTAAAATTAACGTTAAATTAATCGTTAAATATCTTGAAGTTCATGAATATAATTCAAATGTCAAATTGAAAAGGAACGCGATCATTTTAAAATTAGACAATTAGGCCCCTGACGTATGACGTCACAAGTCTTTCATTTTGTCTACAATAGCGGCTTAATTTAGATGTCACAGAGAAGTATATTGTAGGTATCTCATTGTCAGGTATATAAAGCAAAAGAACAATACAAAATGAATGGAGTTGTTACCGTATTTACAAATACTTATTAAAAATCTTATGAAGGAAAGCTTTAATATAAGTCGTTGTTTGTTACCTAAAACTCTACCCCAATATGATCTAAAACAAATCACTTTTTAAGTTTAAAATTTCGATGTCAATATGTAAGTATAACATGAATAATTTTTCGATAGCTAATGTTTTTCTAGTTTTGTCACGATTTTTTAAAGCCAGCGCAAGACACTAACTAACTCACATAAGAGTCACTTCTTTGTTTTATAATTAAGAAGCGCACAAATATGTGACAGATATTACTTATGCCACATAGTGTAAACTTTTATGTGATTAAATAATTGCGGGCCTGTCATCGCCGGGGTAATGAATATAAGGTATTATCGCCTAATAAGGCCCAATGTTTTTGAACTCTCTAGTGCAAAAAAGCAAACTAGAATAAGTCTCGATGGCAATCCCGGACTGGTTCATCAATAAGGAAAGAAGTATGTAATATACGTATTTTGAATGGGTTTTTACCATATTAGTGCTCGAAAAAAAAATGGGCCTTATTAGACTTTGTTGTCTTATCTTTTAAAAACAACTTTAAAATCTGGGTAATGACCTGTATATTTTTTTGCATAAGATAGGTATTTCAAGTTATTATTTTTTGTAATATATTATAATTAAATGTGGTGATTATATGTGATATTGGTTTTATAATGCAAATTTTGTAATTATAATGTGTTTAATAAAAGTTTCTATTTTAAGTGTTTCTGTTATTTCTGATCCTTAATCATTATTCCCTTTTATTTATAATACGTTGAAAACTCGCATTTTTAATCATATTATAATTAATGTGTAAAATAATGATAATATATTATTTTTATACTTCAATCTCTTGAACGGTTGGCTGCAACTCCATTCTTCATCTTTAACTTTCAAAGTTTGAAAAATTGGAATTCCGAATTAAAAACCATACACATTTCTTTAATTGTACCTACTTATTTAAATTAAGATAATTACTCGTAAAGTTCCCTAATCAATAACTTCAATAAAGTGAAACTTTATTTATCAGTTTAAATTTACTTAAACTTGTATCTGCCTCTATTATTTCTGATAAAGAAAACCCAGTCTGTGGTTGTTCTCGGTTAAAACACCAACAACATCATATTCCTTTTATAGGATAATTATACCTTTATCTTTTTAAGCTATTAAATCTTTAAAACCAACACTTTTTCGGCAATGAAGGTAAGGAATGAACGCTAGACTGCGCGTCTAATCTTCTATACATGCCCGTGTGTTGACAAAATTTTATTGAAGCTGTTTATGTCAGTCGACAACGGATACTTGTGAGTTGCAAACGCGATAAAAGTGTGAGCAGTGATCTTAAATTACAAAATTTATATCGTACTATATTACGTGTATTGTGAAGCACAGCTTTAATTAAGTGAGTGAATCTCCAAGAATATATTGTTCCCAATAGGTAATATGTGATATTATTATATGAAAATGTTTTGGATAGTTTTTCTTTAAAGTCAAAATTAACAAATTGAGTAAAATTATAAATGTACATTTATTTCTTATTATATGTATTAATTAACCCACTAATAGATTAAGTACAATGACTCCTAAATAAATACAGATAAAGAAGTGTTTATCCATATTAATACGATAAATTATCTAAAATTTGATTTTGCAAAAAGTAAAACGGTTAGTTTTTGGATTGTAAAAATTTTGGCATATTTAAATACCGAATAATAGATTATATCAGAAATGCCTTATTATAAATTGTTGTTTTTTTGTTTGTTATTTTTATCTAGATTATTATATTCATTCGAATTATATTCTAGGATAATCCAGCAAATCCAAAGTCCAATACTTATTCAAAAGTCCCCCTAGACCATTCTATATTACTTATCCATAACAATAATATAAATTATCTACTATTTTATTATTTGATATAATAATTTCTGTAAACATAAACGATGCTTCGTCATCTCTTTGTATTTTTTTTAAACCAAAAATACTAGTTTAATAACAAGTTTTTATCCAAGGTCGTCAACAAGGTGACTACTGAGTACGTCCCCATTTCCGGTACATTAAAAATAAGTTAATGTCAAATTTACTAAATAGGTACCTATAGGTATTGCGATTATGTTCCTCGATTGTTATCTATTGTATAATACAACCTTGTGTTTCGAGCGGATATCACATTGAGTTCGCCTTAATATGTGAGTACGTTAGGTACGTTTTCAATAGGGTTTTCAACATTGAACACGTAGAGTTTTTAAAATCGAAACGGTAGTTTCAGTTTTCTGCCTGTATATCCTGCGGGAATAAAATAATAACCTGTTTGTTACTTTACGCAATAATCTATCTCTGCCTATTTCTTTGTATCAACTATTGCTATCTTCAATAACAAATACAGAGCGAGGATTCAAGAGGAAGGGTTATAATATATGTATAATATAGGACCCCACGGGCGAAACCGCTGGCAAAAAGCTAGTTTACTGTAAACAAGGAATCTGAAAAATATATTAATCCGGTATACGTTGCTGGTGTAGATATACGAGTACTATTGATAAGACATTCCATCCAAGATAAGGATGTAAACATCTATAATTGAATATTACACAGCTGTTTTAATAGTATTTTCTGATATTCGGATCGGGTTTAATTAAATAAAATACGTTCGTTCACGATAAGCGACGTTTATTAACTGTCATCACACTACATCATCCCCCTTACAATAAAAAAATTATTAAAAAAAAATGATAAACCTTAATTACATTTCATTCGTTAGTAACATTTCATCTTTTAAAAATTTTATTCTTTCACTTTAACATTGGTACAATATAACTTAATATTTTCGATCGATACATTGGAATGTCTAGTCAAAACAATCTCGGGTTATGATAACAAACATTGTGTCAGTATTCTAAGTCACAGAATGAATGATCTTAACAAAAAAAAATATAGAGTTACAAAGTCTAAGCATTTAATCATATCAATCTTAACTTTAAATGTATTTGTTTGTATAAAAAATTATTTTATATAAATATTTAACATATATGTAGTTATATATTTTTATGATATATATTTATTTATATATTTAATGTGAATATTGCTCGAGCAATTATAAACTTATGAAACTACAAATTAAGATAGAGCGCTCTATTTTATCTTATTCTAAGTAAAAAGGTTTTTTAAACATTAACTGCTCAAAGCATGATTTCGTTATAAAAATTTGTTTACACGTTTAAAACAAATATTATTTTTCCTTATATAACTTTGTTCGATTTTTATGTATAATGTCTTGCATGTTACCTTTTTGTATTCTGACATTTGTACCTAGGTCCTCTATTACATTATATGGTCCTAAATAAATTGGTTGACTTTTATCATTTGTTTCATTTTTTATCAATACCAAATCATCCTTTTTGTAACTCTGTGGTCTTATTGTTTCGTCATATTTCTGTTTACGTATTTCTTTTTGTTTTATTAAGTTTTCTCTTGCGTGATTATGTGCTATTTTTAACCGGTATTTAAGTTCGCATAAATAATCGTCAACATTATAAATTGGATCTATTGGATGATGTGTTATTGATGATGGTAGATTACATAATTTACCGAAAACGAGTTCATAAGGTGTGTATTCTGTTTCAGTATGTACTGTAGTGTTAAATGCAAAGGACCAATATGGCAGCCATTTTGCCCAGTCATATCTCGACTTTTCTGTTTGTATTCTAAGAAATGATCTTAAATTTTTATGTGTGTTTTCTAGAGAACCAATTGTTTCGTGGTGATATGCTGTCGAATGTAGTTTTTCTATGTTTAATAATTTACAAATTTCTTTCATCGTTGAACTTAAAAATTCTGTACCTCGATCCGAAACAATACAACTCGGGATTCCGTATATTAATACATAATTGTTAACAAATGATTCTGCTACAGAAATTGTATCTTTTGATTTTAACGGAAAAGCAAGTACATATTTAGACATTTCACACTGCATCGTTAGTACATATACATTATCATTTTCATCTTTTGGTAGAGGACCTAGTAAATCTAAATAAATCTTTTCTAACGGTTTATATGATGTCGTTGTAATCTCTAAAGGCTGTTTTACGTTTTTCGAATGTTTCATAACTTGACACTTTTTGCATGTCGTAACAAACTTAATTACGTCTAAATCTAAATTACACCATGTATATTTTCGTTTTATATTATTAATCATACGCCTAATACCTGCGTGTCCACTAGTTGGTAATAAATGATAATCATTAAGTATCTTTTGTCTTTCTTTTTCATCTGTAATTCTTTTAACTTTACTTAATATATTTATTCGTGGGCCCTTCCACGTACTTCTACTACTTATTTCCTTTTTTAGTTCTGTTATCAACGTTAACTTATCTTCTTCTTTTATCATATTTATACTTTTTATATTTAATTTTTCACAAAATTCTTGTAACTGATCAGCAAATTCTGCTCGAGTAAAATGCTGTCTGAAACTTAAATCTATAATTAATATATTCTTACAAGGAACGAAAATTAAAACATTTTTTTCGTTTTTTATTTTATCATATTTTGTATACTTCTTATTTATATTATTTCGAGTTTCGAATATTAAATCGACACTATCTATAGGTTTACGTAATAATTCTGATATTATCGGTATTTCTAAATCATCGCTTGGTTTTCGCAGTATTTCTGATGTTTCGGACGTCCTTCGATCAGAATTACTTTGAGAACTTCCGCTTTTCCTACGTTCTAATTTCCTTCTTTGTTTTCTTGTTAACACATTACAATTTTCCTCGCTAGACATTTTCTTTAATTCGTCTGAAGTTACTACTATTCTACTTAAACTGTCTGCGATTACGTTTGTCGATCCTTTTATATAAACGATATTGTAGTCAAATTCTTCTAATTGTAATCTAAATTTTAATAATCTGCTCTCTGGATCTTTTACTTTAAATAAACTTATTAGTGGTCTATGGTCTGTTTGGATTTCAAATCTTTTTCCTATTAAATAAGGTTTAAAATATTTTACATTCCATACTATGCTCAATAATTCTTTATGAATTGTAGGATAATTTCGTTCTGCTTTGTTTAATGGGCGACTTGTGTAAGCTATTGGTTTCATATTTTTATTCATAAGAACGCTACCTATCGCGACTTGACTTGCGTCTGTTTGAAGAATAAAATTATTATTTTCGCTAAAGTCAGGGTATTCAAGAACTGGAGGTTGAGTTAATTTTTGTTTTAATAATACGAAAGCATCTTGGCATTCTTTTGACCAATTAAAAGTTACATGTTTCCTGCATAATTGATTTAATGGTAATGTTATTGTTGCGAAATTGTTTATAAATTTACGATAGTAATTACAAAATGCTACAAATCTGCGAACTTCGTCAGCGTTTTTAGGTTGCGGATAATTTTTTACTACTGATGTTTTATTAGGATCTGGTAAAACTCCCTTTTCTGTTACTAGGTGGCCTAAATATATTACTTCTCTTTTAAGAAATTCACATTTCTGAGGGTTTAATTTCAAATTTGTTTTTCTGAGCCTTTCGAAAACGTCTATTAAATTTTTATTATGATTTTTTATATTTCGACCAAAGCAAACAATATCATCACAGTAAATAAAACATTTTTCCGGAGTGAGTCCCGATAGAGCAATTGACATTATTCTACTAAATGCAGACGGACTTATCTTTAAACCTTGGGGTAATCGTGTCATTCTATATTGTTTTGAGTTTGCGGAGAAGGAAGTTATGTCTCTACTGTCTTCATCTAGCCGTAATTGGTAGAAGCTATTTGATAAATCAATTTTTGTGAAATATACTGCGCCTGATAGTGAATCTATGATGTCTGTTATATTAGGAATAGGATAAGATAAATTTTGTATTGAATCGTTTACAGCTCTAAGGTCTATTACCAATCGATATGTTTTTTCACCGTTTTTATTAGGTTTCTTTTTGACTAAGAGTATAGGTGAATTCCATGCACTCGAAGATTCCTCAATAATTCCTTGATCTAACATTTCATTTATTTGTTTATCTACTTCTTTGCGTAATGCGAAAGGTATTCGGTATGGTTTAGAATGTATCGGTTGAGCATTAGGCTTTAGAGTAATCGATTGTGTACCTACATTAGTGTAAGTTAATTTGTCTCCTTCTAAATGAAATATATCTGAATATTTATTGCAAATGTTTTGTATAGTTTCTTTATCTTCATTCTTTAAATGATCTAATTTTAATTGTTGTAAAAGTTTTCTTGATCGCGGATTATTATTTTTTGTTTCGCCAAAATGGCACATTACGTAGTTATCTAATGGTTCTAAATGTAAATCAATGTTTTCTATCGACAATGGTTTATCAGTTGTATTTAAAATTACTAATTGAATTTTTCCTTTCTTTACTCTGACTATTTGACTTGCGATATGTAAACCCGGCTTTATTTCAGTAGTACATAATACGTGAT